ACCAAATCCATTTGGCCTTACATTGGCTCCCATTTGGCCTGCGAAAAAAGATTACAAACCGAACCCAAAAAAAAAGTTGCTCAAGTCAAACCTTTAAAGGTAATGTTCACAATCAAATGGTGACAATGAAAAGAGGTTTTGCTTCCTCATAAGTTGACCTGAATAGTGTCCTTGCCTTAACAAGCCTTCCTTTGCCTTGGATTTGCCTTTGACTTGGTCTCTACTAAACCTCTGTATGAGGTCACCTTTGTGATGGACTGAATGCAAATGAATGGTCAAGATATCCCGTTGACTCTTTCAGGGCTTTGCTTTTGTAAACATTGACCAATGTGAACATTGGCGCTGAAAAGGTGAACATTGGGATTCCATTTAATCACAACTTATTTATCCAAGTTGCTGTTCTCACAGTAAATTGCTATCAAGTTAATTTGACAACGAGATCTGATGACCATTTTCGGTTTGTCCAACTTGCACTCGTTTCTGCGAATCAATAATCTTAATTGTAATTTGATCTTAATTCTTGGTTTCCTTGTTTGTATAAACTGGTTCAGTTTCAGTGGTTTTGTGAACAACAGTAGGCGAGAATCAATCAAAATCTGTTGTTATTATCATGTCAATTGGTTGATTATGGCAGGTAAAGTCAATTCTAATCATTAGTTGTGGGCAAAGATTAGTGACTGTCTATTGATGTGACTCAACCTGACTCTAATTACTTTTGCTGTTTCATTGATTCGAGAAATTAACTGATAATCATTAAAAATCAATATTCTGCACTCTGGTGAATCATTAAACTTCTGGTTCCATTATTCAACTTTGAGTGTTCAACACAAAAATGCTCATCGAGTCAACTAATAGTGATATTTTTATTCCAATTAATTGATTAATGGAATCAGATTAAAAGTCAAAAAAGATTCATCATTAATTAAGTAAGAATGAAATGTCATGAAAAAAAAGAAGAAGTGAAACTCTTAGAATCGCATAAGACAATATTGATTTTATATCATGAAAACCAGAATCATGACTTTATTTCATTCTGTCTCAACAATGACAAAGGTAATTTTTTTCCTGAACATGAACCCATTCTCTCGTCAGATTGATAAGAGAAAGAAAGTGAAGAAACAAAATGTGGAAAAAAGAATGAAGATGAAGATGAAGCGAAGGAAGAGAATGAAGAAAATGACGTTTAACAGTTTCTTCCCTGAGCAAAGTCTATTAATAAACGAGAACTGAAATGATGTTAATTAGTCAACTAATTGGTTAAAGTAAAATATGTTACTTGAGCAATGAAATTGTTGACTAAATGAAGATGTAAGATGAACAATTGATTGAAATTATTGTTGATCCGATAAATTGTTGAACGGTTTAATGGATGGTTGAAGGTGAACAGTCAAACTGAACATCATTTTAGCGCTAATCAGATGCAATTTAATTGCAATTTCCAGTGGAATGTTGATAATCTAAGGAAATGCTTGAGAAATTATTGATGATAATAAGCATTTTGTCTTAAAAAATCGAGACTAAAAAGGAAATTTTTTTGATAAAAAAAGGTAAATGTTGAGCCATTAACTGGGATGAGAATGGATATAAGCCTTGAGGTGAAGATCCTTGGCAATTAACTGGATCAGCCTTTGGGCAGTTTTGACTTGATCAGTCGCTTGTTTTACACTAATATTAACAGAGTAATTTATTAATGAAAATGTGTAGACACCACAGGATGTATTGAACATGATCAACATTCACTGTTAATTTAATCACCACAAAAGTTAATATATTTTTCGTTTTTTCTTCTTCTTTTCAACCCAATTTTAACCTTAAATCAGAGCATTTGGTAAGCATCTGGTGATTCAATTCATTATTAATAATAATATTGCTCATCATAATCATGAGTCAAATCAATTGACTCCAAGAATAACTAATGATCTGAAGCATTATTTCTTTTCATATTTCTCTTCTTCTCATCATCATCATAATAATGATATATTTTTCTGATCAAAACGGTGATTGCTGTTATTATTATAGCAACAAGAATCTAAAGGAACCATTTTTCTTGTGTGTTTCATCATAAAATCATCATCACTCATCATAATCTTTGAATATTGATTAATCTTGGATCATCAGATAATCGAGTTACTCATGATTATATAAATGGCGAAAAGGTAAATGATGATCGTGTTCACTTCTTTTTGGGTTCATCTTTTTTCTTCTCATTTTGATACACTTGATGATAATGATGATAATATTGATGGTCACTTGGAATTTGTCGAAATTCCCTTGATTCAGCATAAAAAAGCAGGCAAAAGGCCAACGAAATATGAAACTGAATGAGTGACAAAATCTTTTTCCTTTCATCCTTACCTTTCTCATCACCTTGTCTTCCAACCTAATCTTGCTTCTTTCCTCTCCTCCTTTATCTTCATCACATCCGTTGAATGATAGACGCTAATGATCACTGAATCGATCTTGAAATCACAAACAGTTTTCTATCAATTCATTTTATCATAAAGATGACTTGTAAACAAGAAAGAAAAAGATTAACAAAGATAACATTAAATGAACTAAGAAATGGCGTTATCAAGTTACAAGTAAAGGTCAATTATCGTTAAAAAGATGTTCATTTAGTTGGAAAATGGTGCTAAATATTTTTGTTAGGATTAATCATCTTCATCGTCCTGATCATCATCATCTTCATTTTCTTGATCATCTTAATCTTCCCTTTGCATCGACCCTTCTTTCAACCTTCACTTGAGTAACAGGCAATTAAATTGATGGACACATCACTTGTCCTGATCAGTTTAACCGAAACTTGAAAATATCTTGAAAGAACAAGAATTTTATCCATCAAAATATTTCCCTGCGTGAGTTTTTCCTTCAATTTCACCATCAACTCATCAACTACAGTATAAATAACAGATGAATTCATCTTTGCTAAAGTATTACCTTACATTGCAATTAGGTAACAACAAGAATCAAGATGACAATGTTGCTTTCATTGGAATCTTATCATCAACTTACATGATGACAAAGCCAATCAGCAAATGATTACAAGTTTAACAAAATGCTACAAAATAGTTGATAATAAATGAGTTGAGTTTAATCGCTTGAACTGGGATTAAGATTGATTCGGATTCACTTTGCTTATGGATTAGTCCGAGATTCATTTTGATGGACTTGCTTCAGTTACAAAACTTTCAAATGTTGATATTGAATATGAAACCAAGGAAAGAAAGTTGACCGAGAAGAAATGAAATAAGATTCCGAGATGAAGATTATGATAATTATGAAATGATAATGTGATGGAAGGTTTGATTGTCCGTTCTTTAAGCTTCACAGATTATGATTCACACATGAATGAATAAATATTAATAATATATTAATAATATAATAAGCGCTGTGAAAATGACTTTTGTAAAGATCGATCAACATTTTGCTAGACAATTTAGATTCACCATTTGAAGATGTTGATTGAAGATGATAAAAGAGTAGCTGAACAAGATTGTTCACATTGCTGGTTCCATGATCATGATGGAGGATAAATTATAATAATCAAAAAGGATTCGAGTGCCAATGACACTTGCTTTTCCAATTCAAAATACACCAAGAAATAAGAAGAAACTCATATTTCCTTGAATTTATATCTATTATTATCATCATTATTATGTACAAGGGACAAAGAATTATATTAGATTGCAATTTGAGAAGAAGAAGAAGAAGATGAAGATGAAGAGTAAAATGATGAAGGACTGAAGAAGCACACAAAAGATGAACAAGAGATGCTGATATATCTTTTCTGTATTCTTCTTTTTCTTCTTCTTCTTCTTCTCTTCCATGGTTGACATGAATTACAATCAATGAAATTCCTGAGTAAGAAACATTTATTCAACTTGGAATCACTTTCTCTGTCAATTCCGCTTCACCCTGACATTGAAACTCCCTGAACAACTATTCAACCCAGTCATGGATGTTAAATGTTAATGATGATAATTAAGGAAAACAGTAAATTCCTCGCAACCAAAAGCAAACATTTGTTGTCTGTGTTTTCATTGCGCTAATGGCCATTTAGTTGTTGATGACACGCAAGTAACAGAACAACAATCATCATCATCATCACTATGCTAAGATAAATTGTGGTTGTTATTAAATTATTGCCAATTAATATTAAAATTTAAATTTAATTTAAATCGTTTTATTGAAACAACTTTGATTGTATCACAGATAAATAATACATTCTATTAATAATACATAATTTGTTTGTCTGTTTTACTTACACGAGTGTGACCGAAAATGGTAATGTTAAAAGTGTGTAATTTGACCTCAAGACTGGGTTTATTTAAAGATGCTTAATTATTATTGAATATACCCTCTAGGCTCAATAATGCTGTTTTTTACCATGTTTTTTTGTTTTTCATCATCTTTTTCACCTTCATCTTCATCTTCACCTTCATCTTGGTCATCAAGTTCAATCGACAGTTACAATTTTTTATTATCAACAATAACTGAAATGATCCCATAAATAGTCACACTAATCATCGTTTCATCAAAAAATCACTTAAATGTTCATTAACTTTCTTCAGTTCAATCAAAAGTCAATCCTTTTTCAATGTTGAATAAAAAAATTGTTAGTTATGAAGGAAGACTTTCAGCTAAAATGATTGAAACGCGTTCAAATGTTCAAACTTGTCCGGTAAACTGTTGAAAAGTGTTTCTTTTTATCGATAAAATGCATCTTTTACCAATTAGTTAATCAAAAGTTTCAACCTTTGATTGCATATTTTAAAAGAAACAATAAAATAATAAGTGAATCAATCTAAATTGAGTGAAAATTTTCAGGTTCATCACAGTTTCATGTCCAATAGAAACATTTAATACTAATTGACCCAATTGTTTCAATCTGTTTCTATGTTTGTCCTTTGACCGAACAAATCTGCTAACATTTAGGTTAACAAGTAATCAAGAATAATCAACATTAAGCCTAGAGGGTATATTCAATAATAATTAAGCATCTTTAAATAAACCCAGTCTTGAGGTCAAGTTATCATCCTTTAACATTACCATTTCGCTTGCACTTGTATCTGCCCTCTATCAGCATCATCTTTATTCAAACGCGTTAACACGATTTTCATCTACCCTCCTCAGTGGTGTAATCTTTGCTCTTTTCATCTGTCGATCAATCTGATCTTGAAACACATAAATTGGACATCTTTCCTTCGTTTCAAGTCACTTTCGCGAATCATTCTAAGCTGAGTGGCTAACGTTTTCTCAACAGTAATCAAAACATCTTTCAAGCAATCAAGTGTTTACATCGAGTTAAACATTTTTCCTTTTGTGATTAGTAAATCTTTTACAACAAATATGTTCCCATCTAATAACGGTTTAGTGATTATTTTTATTTTACAAATTAGCCAAGTTTTCTCGGCTGGTCAAAAGCTTCCAGGATACAATCATCAATTACTAGAAATTGATTTAGCTGCTCTGAGAGGATTAATCAACAAAGAAAAGCTTGGTTACAGTTTAAAGCCAGCAGCATCAGTTAGTCATGGTACATTATTGCAAGGGAATGGAGCTGGTGTCGGTCCTGTCGCTGCTGGTGCTACCAACTCTCAATCTAACCTAATCGCCATACCATTATACCTTCGTAATAACCAAGTCAAATGCTTATGCCCTGGTCAGACTAATGGTCTAACTACTGGCAATAGTTACACTGGCACTCCAGCATCATTGTCTCCATCATCAGCCAGTTACGGTCAAACATCTTCTCAACCAGCTAGTTCAACTTACGGTTCCTCATCATCATACCAGCCAGTTGCTTCAACTTACGGTTCATCTTCCCAGTCAGGAGCTTCTAGTTACGGTCAAACATCTCAACCAGCCAGTAGCTCAACCTACGGTTCTTCATCAAGCCAGCCCGCTAGTTCAGCTTATGGTTCATCATCTTCTCAGCCAGCTAGTTCAACATACGGTTCGTCATCTAGCCAACCAGCAGTTTCAACTTACGGTTCATCTTCCCAATCAGGAGCTTCAAGTTATGGTCAAGCATCTTCCCAGCCAATCAGTAGCTCAACTTACGGTTCTTCATCAAGCCAATCAGCTAGTTCTACTTACGGATCAGCATCTTCCCAACCAGCTACTACAACCTACGGCCAAACGTCTTACCAGCCCGCTGTTTCAACTTATGGGGCATCATCTCAGCCAGCCAGTTCAACTTACGGTCAAACAGCTTCTCAGGCAGTCAGTAGCTCATCTTACGGTTCATCATCTTCCCAACCCGCTATTTCAGCTTACAGTCAATCACCTTACCAGGCCGCTGTTTCATCTTACGGTTCATCTGCTTCTCAACCAGCTAGTTCAACTTACAGTCAAGTAGCAACAAATGAGCAGACTTACCCAAGCTCACCCAATTACTCATCATCATCATACCAAACTGTACCTCAGATAATTCCACAAAGTTATACCTCATCTGGATCAAGTGATTCCGTATCAAACTATGAACAATCAACAGATTCAGCAGCATCATCCTCATCTTCTTCTGCATCTGCTAATCCAGCTTCTTCGTCTTCAGCTTCACAATTACCATCGTCTCCATCATCGTCTTTATACAGTGAAGATGGCTACTCATCAGGATCATATGGATCTGCACCAGCCAGCCAAACTAATTATATAAATGGTTACTCAAGTGATTCCCAAGTCAAAATGGCACCTGCTAATTCTGGATACGAATCTGACTACTCATCCAGTGCAATCTCTGCCCCTTCATCACCTTCGTACCGACCTATTTATTCAAATACTTATGCACCCTCATCAAGTCAAGTATATAAAAATCAGCCAGTCTCTCAAGTAAGTTCAACCGGCTACACTGACTCTCAAGCTGCCAATGAGTACTATACTGATCCAGAATGCGCCAAAGACAATCAACAAATCCAATCAAATTCTGGTAGTCAAACAAAAGGTATTCCATCACCAATTAAAAAATTCACCCAATATCAAGATTCATGGTGAATTCGGAGATAACTTGGAAGGAAAACCTTAATCATTATCCTAATAATTCGATCTGCCATATCTATCAATAGATAAAATTGTTATTACAAATGTATCATTTGCTAAGTTTAACTGTTGATGTTTCAGTTGAAATTCGCATCAATTTATGATCATGTTGATGATCATTTTATAAGACAAATTAATTTAAATTTATAAAGTTAATCTATTGAACGTGAGTCTGAATCAATTACCATCAACAATCAAAAGGTTATCAAAGTAAAGGGCTGGATGATCATGACAGTAATTACTTTTACCATTCACACCAAGTATTATTTTCTCATTTTCCATTCATTTTCACGTTTTTCTCTCTTTTTTATAATTTTATTATTATCTGACCACCATCATGTTGGTCAGAATATCAAAATTTATCTCAATGTGATCCCATCTAATATTTGTATTATGTAAATGATAAACAAAACAAGATAAAAATATAATAAAAACAACAAACAAACAATTTTTCATTACGTCTCACTGACATATTTACCTGTATAAATCATCAAGAATGGCACTTTGTGTATGAAATCATCAGGACAATCTCAACAATCTGATCTACAATTTTAGATCAAAGTTTGATGAGAAACTGATATACAGTTTGCTACCTATTAATAAAACCTTCCTTGAGCGTTGACAGAAAAGAGACAACAATTTGAATTGAATTAGGTTTAATTTTTAATTTTAATCTTCTTATTGAATTTATAGTTTTATTCATTTACATGATGGGCCGTCGAAGGTATTATATTTACAAACTGAGCCCCGATCATTAATGATCGTAAATTTCTTGCACTGTATACAATAAATTCAATCCACATTTAAGGACTCAAATTATTGATGAAAAACTAAAAAAGTTTCGCTCGTGTTGAGAGTTGAACCTTTGTTGGCTGTGAAGGCATAGAACTGATTCCATTTTTTGAATTAAAAAGTTACTCTGATGAACAATCGCGTGAGGTTTGCTTGTTTGATGTTATAAGTGTGTGTTTAGTTACAATAGTTTTCCGTCTGCGTGCCTTTGTGTTTGGCAACGCAAATAGAAACTAAATTGCTGCAAAATGAGGCTGTTTGTAATGTTTTGGAACATTACTGTTTCCTTGTAATCATTCACAAATGTTTTAACATTATAATGATGATGATTATGGTTATGAGATTTGTGGGTGGAACAGTGAGGATTAATGTTTATACAGCCAAGTTAGCATCAACTGTAAATTTTCGGATCAAGTAATTATTTGCATCACCAATCTTCCCAGTATCATCCTTATTCCTTGTTGACATCTTCACTAGCTTTAAACCAACCTTGACTCCGGAGTCACAGTTTTTGTTGGCATTTCAATGTTGTCCCCTTAGCTGCGACATTCCGATTAAAACAAGCGAATGGTAAATAAAATGTTAGCGATGTCTTAAAAGGTCTTTGGTTGCAAACTCATCTTTGGTACAATCAACATGATGGGTTAGGTTGGTGAATGCTCTTTGTGGTTATTGTTGTTGTTACTGACTTAGCATTGAAATTAATCAATTGTTTATATTGGTCCATTGGAAAATCATTCAGCATCACTCAATAGTTTTAATTTCCTTTTTGCTTGTTAATCCTGTTGTTAACAACCAATCAACCATTGGCTTACTGATCCTTTGATCCGATCATCATTTAATTGTATGAACACAGGCTTTGAAAGAGTTACAAGGAAAGAAGAGAAGAGAAGATGAAAAGACATCATCATCCTTTCCTTTTTTTGTTACATTTTGCTTCAAGACAACTTGTTTTTGCAAGTCTTATCTTTTTATTCAGGTTTCTCCCCATCATCATCATCATCATCATCATTATTATTATCCTTCTTCTTCTTGTTGGCAGGTTAAGGCAACTAGTGACCACTGGTAAGTTGCTTGTTGCACTTATAAAACAAGGAGAGCAGGCAAACCAAATGAGATAAAGAGGAAAATATATTCCCTTGAGATCAAAATCCAAGGTGTAAGTTGTGAGAACAGAGAGATTACTCTTGGACGGAATTTCACACCGGAAATGGCATCGGAAGAAAATTAAATTACATCAAGTTTCCAGGTTAGTGATGTAAAATCATTGAGGATCATCATTATCTTTATTGCTGAGAGAAATGTTCAATAGCAATCATTAAAAACATTAAAATGTGTTGGAAAACAATTTTCATCACAGTTCAGTGATTGGCGTAGTTCGAAGATTACTAACAATCGGATAATGGTATTCACCTTCATATGAAGAAGAATCACTACCACATCCTCCTCCTCCTCCTACACCTCCAACTCCTACACTTAAATTGCTTCTGAAACCAGCTCTTATAAGACTATTACTTGTATTACCGATAATTGGACCACTAGTGAAACCACCGAAGCCACCAACAATACTGCTTATGCGATCAAATGTGTGACTACTCATGTCGTGATGTAGTGAACCACTCAAAGGGACTATTTCATATGGATTGTTCAGGTTGTTAATGATTGTTGTTGATTCCATGTTATAACCTGGAACCACAATGCACTCTGGTTTACTGTAAGGCCCATAATCCAGATCATTTGTGCGTATTGGGTTATGACTCATCATACCAAATATCTTACGACCTGATCCACCAACACCACCCATTACACTTCCGATACTTCCGATACCTCCAACCATTGATGATGCACCAATCTTGGCAGGATAATGATGAGATCTTTTTGATCCAACTCCGGTTGTACCTTTGATTAATCCGGTTAATCGAGTTCTCCAACGAATACCACAAATCACAACAACACCGGTAATGATCAAGCAACCGATGAATACACCAATTACAATTGGTGCCATTGATTCAACTTCATAACACCCTATATCACCGGGTTCCAGATCAATTATCTGTTTACCTCTGAGAGGCATTGGATTGGCACATGTTACTCTAATTATCTTATTTACATTAGATGATGTATCACTAGATGATTGCATGATGAATGAAGATGACTCGACGGATGGATTGGGTGCGATGCGACGAGCAGCAGCAGGGAATGCTGATGCCGGTTCACGTTTCACTGATACTTCATTTACTCCTTTGGAGCTTTCAGTAGTTGATGATGTGGGTGAATTAACAGATGAAGATGATAATCCTTTAATGGACACTTCACTATTAGTATCATTAATGTTTTGGAGAAACAATTTACGGATCCATTGAACAGAGCAATTACATGTGAATGGGTTGCCTCGAACATCAAATAACTTGACACGATTCGCAATTAAAGAGAGATGATTGTCAAGGAAGGTGAATGAATTGTGAGTTAATATGAGAATCTTGAGAGAAACCAGTGGATCAAATAGAGTTGAATCGATGAAATGCAGATTTGGATTATAAGAAATCTCTAATAGCTCCAATTTATCCAATCCATTAAAAGCTCCCGACTCAATTGTCTGTTGATTATAATAACAATAAAAGTAAAGATTAGAGTAATTTGATATGGAAACATGAAAAAAGCGATGCTTTCAAGGTAAATTGAGGAAAGTAAAGACAGCTGAGAAGCAAAGGAAAACAGAGGGTGATGAGGATCAGGTTGACAGTCACAAGTATAACAGCCTACGGGTATATCAATGATGATATCGGTTGAATACCATTGTGTAAAATTGTAAGCATTGTCATCGCAAGTAAAGCAAGATAAACGGATCATCAGTTAAGCATAAATAAATAAATATACATTGACAACCCTTTAAAATACGCCAAGAGTAGAGTAAATTATCTCAACGGATAACCATGACCAAGATGATCAATTTGAGATAACCTTGTCACCCTTTATCCCAAGGTCTCTTGACAGGAGAGAAGAGACAATATTTTCAAAATTACATGTCAAGAGTGAGATTTTGTAGAAGTCAAGATCAGGCCGACCACTGAGGCCAAGTTTCCGCAATGATTATTCCCAAATGAGGTCAATGAAATTTGAGATTAGTTTGTTTTTTGCATTTGCAAACTTTTAAAAGATTTAAGTAAACACAAACAAAAACAAGACAAAAGCGACAAAGTAAAAAGTCTACCATTGAAACTCAACTCAGATCTTTTTACATTAGATGGAAATTTGTTTTCAATAAAAGTACATTTCATGTCTTCTCAACTTGTAATTTGCTTCCTCTCACTTTGCTTTTCCAAATACATAATAACAATTTTTATGTAGATCATTGAAGAGGAGCAAAAAAACATTTTAAATATAACCTTTTTACTATTGTCAAGTGTTTCAAGAAAATTGTGTGAAAAAAGCGTTATCCAAGTTATCACTTTTTTCATTCTGAATGGAGAAAAGGAAAAAAGTCAAGATTGGACAATGTTCAATAGAAAATTAGTTTGGTTATGCATTGAGTGAGAGCAGAGTGCGTGACCCAAACAACAGAACCATCAACGACGAGTTCTCATCTGAATTACCGAGTGACAATGTGAAATAAGGAATGATCAAGATGAAGATGAACAACCAGTAAGAAATATCAGTGAACCGTTTATCCATCTCTTAACAGTGTTACTGGTCGAAGACGAGATAAAAGAAAGGAATAAAGCAAGATTCTGAAAGATGAACAAGATGAGCAAAATGGAGACAAAAGTTTGACTCAGTTAAAATACAATTTTTCACTTTCTTCAAGTCAAACAAACAATGAAACTTGTTATGCGAAAAAAGAAGGAAAATTGTAAGAGCAAATAAGTGTTAAGGGGAAAATGAGTGCGTGTTGAAAGAGAAATCATCATTTCTCTCCAAGGAAACATCAAAGAGATGATCATCATGATGATGATGATAATGATGGTAAAAGCCTTTCCATAGCATTAATGGATAAGTATTTTCAAAATCTCAACATTCACACAAACTTGTTTACTGTTAATTGAATTAATACAGTGCTGGTAACAGTGATTACATCAGTTAATTGTTTCGTTAAAATAAATTTTTTAGTCTTATTTTACCCTAAAAGAAGAATTCAAATTACAAATTAATTGATCAAAACTGGACTAAAATATTAAGTAAATTGTTTTTACAAGCAAATAAAGTAAATGGAATCTCAAGAATTTCAAAAATTTCACTCCATGCTTTTGATTAATTAATAGAATCAAAAATCGTAGGTTTCATCTAATGACGAGGCTACACCTTATTTTTAGATCAACTTTCCGTCTCTTTGCTGGAATCGCTGTTATTTGATTAATTAATTTATCTTGAAATGGCATTAATCAGATAATGAAGAAGAAGCGCAAAATGAGAAATAAGTGCGTTTGAAATTATTCTGGTTAATCCAATGAAACAATTTGTTAAGTCTTTTTTTTAAATTGAATCATCATGAATGGGAATAATCAGATTATGTAGTTTATGTAAACAAACAGAATTGTCAACCAAATAATATAATCATGCAATGATTACCAGGGGAACGATAAAAAATAGATTTTCATGTTTACCAGAAAAACAACAATCAAATGAAATGATAAACAAAACAAATTAAATCAACCAATGTAAAGACAAAGTATAATGTAATTTTTAGGAAAAACAAGAAAATAATAACAGAGTGATAATAATGATGATGAAAGTGGAAAATGTTCAACAAAGTTTCTCCATCATGATTATAAGGTTGATGATAACGTATGAAACAGCAAATACCACTGATTAATAAAGGAGTGGCTAAGTTTAAGAAAGTAAAAGGAACCAAAAATTTGCTAAATTAATGCTATTCCAAATGATGAAAAGATTAAATCAGTTCTAACTGATCCTTAAGAATACATCATTTCAAGTTGGTCTATCGATGTTTGCAGTTAAAAAAAGAAAGCAATAACATCAACATAACCAAGAGAAAAGGGAAATTCCTTGAGCTATCATGTTGAAACCCATCATTATTTTGCTTCTTTTTCGTCTTCTGTTAGTTCCTTGTATCTCCTCCTCCTCATCATCATCTTACCATCTGAAAACCCGGACAAACACACAAACCATAGACTTGCTAGATAAAGTCGATTATATATCGTCTTCTTAAATTATCATTATTTCCTCAAAATTTTGTTGCCATCGATTTACCGTCCACATTTTAGCCGCAAGGAAGCAAAGTAGCAGAGGTCATTAAGAGCTAAGGCAATTTTGTATGCATGCAAAGGCCAGTTTGTTAGAAGGCGGATCAAACTTTGGCCCATGTAAAACGGGAGCTTTTTAGAGGTAAAAATTGAAAATAAGATGATGAATAAGAAAACATGAGTTGATGATCATGTTGATGATGGTGATCAAGTTTGGTTACAAAAAAATGGGAGGAATTGAGTTTTCTCATCAACAGAGGCGTTGTAGGTCGTTGTTATTATTATTATCATTATTATTTCTCAACGATTTTGTTTTGTTATTTGCCAATAATACAATTGTAATAGTGAAAAGAGCATGCGAGGTCAGACACGCACACAACGGATGTCCAATTGGTAATCACAGGGTAATAATAATAATAGCCATAATAATAAAATAACGATGATGATAAGGAATCTCCGTCTTCAAGTTGCAAGTTTCATGAGTAGTTGGTGTTGCTTCTGTGGAAGCAACAACAACCGACAATCAAAACATCAACTTTGTTATGTATTATAAATATAACAAGACGTTGCTATTGATGTAATCTCTTTTCACTTTGCATAGTTTGGAGCCAAGGATCAAATAGGATGTTACCTTAAATTTAAGGATAACAGAATGATGATCGTCATCATCATTATCATCATCATCATTGTGGAGAACATTTTATGTACATTAACGCTGTGAGAATGTTGATGATAATGCTAGTAATGATTAAAATAATGATAACCAATGCAATGGAAGGTAGTTTAATATTGCCACCGGAAGATGCACCAGATAATCATCTCCTTTGCTTCTTGGTTATTAGTTTCGTTCAAGATGCATCATCATTATAATCAAAAACCATGTATGATGAGGAAAATGATAAAGTTGAAACTTGATAACAAGTAGGAGAGAACTTATGAATTGTAGGAATTAATTCTGAAAAAATATAATTTATATTAAATAAAAGATGTAATAAAAAGGAGCAATTATTTATATTCTTGGCGAATCTTATTCAAAAGTTAAATAATCAACACCAGAGCATTGGGATTTAAATGCATTGTTAAAAGATGAATGAAAACAATGAAAATATTTTTCCTCTTTTCAGTAATATTCATTGCTATTTCAAAATTCAACTCTAATTGAATCTCATGTATTAAATACATTAATGGAAAAATTTGAATCAAGAACCTTTTATGGGCATATTTACGCTGTTAACTTAAGTACATCATCATCATTATCGATCTATCTCATGATAATTCCAATAATTGCCAAAATAATAATGATAATGATTATTATTATCATCTACAGTGAGCGATAATAACTGTTTATAACATAATTATTCAATTGTGAGGTTACGTTGATATCAATGGTCAATGATAAGGATGATGATGAGTATGACAATGAATGCAATGATTGATTGCTGAGGAAGGAAGTACGTTTATCATCATAGTGGACTCAAGGATCATCTGCAAACATTGAAATTGCTCAGAAAAACCGGAAAAGAATTTAAGATATCAGCGATAGATTCAGAATAGTAGCAGGAAACCAAAGTCAGAATAAGAGATAAGAACATTATGATTATTGTAAAACCAAATGTTCATAATATCCACTTGGCTTTATTTTTCTAGTCTTCATTTTCATACAGAAATGACATCTAAAATCAAAGAGAAGCGATTTACTGACAATCGATTTTTTACAAAAAAAAACATTATTTTCCTATGATTGTCAGGAAAGAGTATTGATAGTTTCAATGGTGATGAAAATGACTGAAGTAAAGATAAGGGAAGGGAAATGTTCATGAAATCAATGGGATTAAATGGGTTGGAGTGAGTACTTTAATTGGATTTGAAGGTAAAGAAAGGATAAAAGATAAGATCGGACAATCAGCCAAATGGGTCAAAAGAATGAATGAAAATAAAGTTTTCTTTCAACAGTAAATAATGGAAACGTGGATTTTGGGACAATGGATGTTTTTCAAATGAATTTTGAGTGAAGATTAATTGATGGATCAGAAAGATTTTACGTTGTTTATCAAATCTCTTGACAATTATATTGTGATTATTTGAGAATCAGATATGAAAAAATCTGCCAATTCAATTTCCATGGTTGAATATTTGATGAATTAAACAAAGGTGATAAGTATTTGAATAAAGCAAATGTTTATCATAGCTTCTTTCGCTTTCGTTTCATTGTTTCTTTTTGCAAGCTCATCATTTCACAAAAATTTCTCTATACAAGACTGAGATGTTTCATTTATCTCATGGTCTTTCAATCCATGAGTCAACTGATTTAATAATAAAGAGAATAAAAAGATTAAAAACTGATGATGAGGATGATAGTGATAGAAACAAGATGGGAAATAACAAAAAATTTGCA